GTATATATATATATATATATATATGTGTGTGTGTGTGTGTGTATGTAAAGGCATTTTAATCCTTTACCACACTCTTGCAATATTCTGAACATTGTTTCTAAACTCTAAATGCTCTAAAAGAGCAAAAATGTCATGATCTCTGCTCTCTGCCACCTGCCAGCGCTCTCGGCCACGTCCACTTCTCCGCTGCAGAACGGAGATGGATATGCTGCAGGAGGAAGCTTCTCCCTGCACCTGTGGGCTGCACACAGGTGCTAAATAATTTTACATAATTTATTTAAAATAAAAAATCCATTCCAATCGTGCAGCTCATCCATCAATCAGCCAATTGTGTGTCATGTTCAATCTTACTTTGAAAAAACACGAAAGAGCGAGTCAGCAAAAAAACGAACCGTGAAGTAGCGAGGGACTTCTGTACATTTGTATATAATAATGTCTTAATATTAAAAATATAGATATTTATATTTTCTTAAAAAATAAAAACATAAGCACAATATATTATTTTTACTGTCACAGAAAAAATTAAATATACTGGTTGTGTGCTGATAATAAGAAGCTTCCAGGATGTAATAAATGACAGAGCTATCATCATATTTATGGAGGGGAAAGTGCAGTATTTCAGCACGACTTACAGAGTGTAATTTGAATTCCTACATAGAGGTCACTTTTTTTTTTACTGTAGACAGTTTCAACTAACTATATATTTTTATTTGATATTTAAACCTAGGTATAAATTGTTTAAAGAAAACATTTGAAATTTAAACCTAGATTAAAAATGTCAAACAATGAACTTTTAGTCCTAATTTGATCAAATTTTAGGCTAGATGTGCATTAAGAGCTCAGCTCCCATGTTTTTAATTAAGAAGTGACTATTTTCAGATTTTTAAAATCTCAGCAATATTGTAAAATCGTTGCCTGTATAATAATTAATGTTTTTATTCTATTTATTGTTACTCTATGGTTTTAACCACAAGTACATTGCACTCCACCCATCAGACGACTGTACGAAATATAGTCTCGCTGTACTTTTGTGCAATGATGATAAAGCTTATTCTGATTCTGATTGGACTTGTGACGTACCAGGCATGACCACAAAGGAGCCCTGTGGCTCCATGGCTACCAGACAGGCACTGAGGATGGTGGGAGAGTCAGCAGCTGAGATCCCACACATACGGCACGCTTCCCTCAGCTGGCGTCCTATTGAATGGAGGGAGTGTTCACCAAGGAGAGAGGTCCAGTCTGTTTAAAAGAGACAATGGAAAGTGTGTGTGTGAGAGGTAACAAAATGAATGCAAAGCAGGACTTTAATTTTAAACAAATTATGCAACTAAAACATAAAATAAACACTTATGATGCAATACAACAATTGTTCTATAAAAACGGTTAATAAACAAAAACAGCTGGACTTCTATTCTGAAGCTGAAGACGTTTTGCTTCCTGTTCCTGGCCTTATTATTTTGCCCCTTTCGACAGGTTGGATTGGCTAATCAGCCTTTAACTGTTTTGGGCTGTGGCCTTTTCTGCCCACCCATAAATAGGCTGGTTTCAGGGAGCTCTCTCTCTCTCAGACTCCCTCTGTTTTTGCTCCTCTCATGCGTTCACATTTTTGGACCTTTTTCTCGGCCACCCTGGTTTTCCCAGGGCCCTTGTTTTTTTTCGTTGTCCTGGAGCTGTGGCCTGCTGTCGGTGGCCCCAGCCGCCTCAGGTCATTTTTGTTAACTTTTTGTATATTTGTTTTAACTTTGACCTGGTGGGACTGGTTGTCCTGTTTTCGCCCTTTTCTTTTGCAATAGGTGCTTTTGTAAGTTTTTTTCAAGTTTTAGTCTGGTACCAGCCTCGGATTCGACGGCCCTGTATAGGGTTGGCCTGCTGCGGTACCTTTTTGTTCGGTTTGACCCGGTCACCAGGTCCAGCTTTAAGTTGATACTTTGGGTTTTTTTGTTTCTTGGGTGAACACGGGACTTAGGCGTTCATTATAATCTTTTTTTTTCTCCTCCACGAAGCAGCAGCTTTAATATATTGAACATTTGCGTCCATATTTGTGTCTCATGGCCTCCTTTAATATGTTCTGCCCTTGGTGGACTTAACACTTCCCATTCAGGAGTTGTTATCAATTCAAAAATGATTGAAATAGGTTTTTTAAATTTTTTGAATTGATAACACCCCCTGTATGGGAAGCAAAACTTCTTCAGCTTCAGAATAGAAGTTCAGTTGTTTTTGTTTTTTAACTTTTTTTAATTATTGATCATGAACTGGATGACTGAGAATCTTCACCAGCATACAACAATTGTTAACTCCACTTCAGAATAATGCAAAAGAAGGTGCTTATGAGTAGTAAGTGCTTTATGTGCAGTCAGCAAGTACCCATTTGAAGCAAAAGGTGGTAATTTGCTCTCCTTTGGCTTCACTGTGAGGATCAATTTTACCTTCTCCTCCAAACTGAGCGTAGCAGACAGGGCAGACTACTTAACGCAAGCTTTACATCAAAAAGAAAAACAGTTTGTGCAACTTCACTGAAATATTTACTTTTACTTAAAGCCAGATCTAAGTCAATGTACGCGTTTATATCCATTCAGGTTCTTGAACTTATATGAGTTATTGCATCCTTTGAGTATTTGCTTTTGTAAAGACGTGAATGCACGGTGAAGAACAAGAGGTTCAGCCAGAAATAGGCAACACGATACATGTCTTTGGGAAAACAAAGTAAGAACAGTGATTGTAAATTAGTTTTTGCCCAAATTACAGAAAACATATTTTACAAGCTTACAGTCACAGTATTTCCTCTGAGCATGATTCATCACTAAATATAATTTAATGTTCTGTTACTGCTCACCTTTCAGCTCCCCGTGACCCAACCTGCCTAATCGCCCAATGACAATCCTCCAAGGTAGTGAAGTCATTTGAATGATGCCGATGCACCACTCCCACAGTTTCTGCAATCCCATCTTCCTAGCTGATACCTTGGGACGCCTGGCTCTGAGTTGAAATAAACAATGAAAGAATGTGAAGGTCAGTGCCAAATCTTTTTGATATTTAACCAAGAGGTGCACTAAAATTAAACAAGATCTTCTTTTGCTTATGTTTGTCATGAATGGTTTCAAGATCTCAAGCAATCTTTGTCACCTGTTGGGCACATCAATGTTGATGATGCAGGTCTCCAGGAGCTCCCCATGCTGGTCAGTGCAGGACACCAGGATCCAGCGCTGGTCATGTGACAGGCAGTATCCCACAAAAAGTACATTGTATTTGGGAGGGTGTTCAGGCCAGATCTCTCCTGGCTCTGGCTGCTTGGAACGAGTCGGACCAAGGATAAATGGTGGACAATACAGCTGTACGGGGCTGGGATACTGAAAAAAGGATTAAAAAATGCAGTAAAGTAAACTGTTTTAAATGTTTTAACTGTTAAATGTTTTAAATCATGTTATTATCTCATACTTACCTCTGGATTCTTAAGTACAGAAATGACAGTGGATACTGGGCCAAAGCCAGTGAGGGACTTGATGTGCGTTTGCTGGGGAAGCACCCGTCTGCACTGGGAGTAACAAGAGAAGGCCAGGGAGCGCAGGTGTTGCAGATACAAATGGTTTTCTCCACTGGCTGGTTGGAGAAGATACTGGCACGGCACCACCTGTAATATAGACACAAAATGGAAATGAAGAATGTTAGCACATTGCTTAACTACTGTATGTCTGGTGTAACACTAATCAAAATGCATTCCTACCTGTAGGACCAGTGCAGCCCTCATTGTCTCAGGTAAAATTTGTAGCATCTCTGTGTAGCAGCGAAGAAGCCCAAGCAGCCAAATGCTACCTGACTCCACCTCTTCGCCCTCCACTTCTTCTCCCCCTTCATTTCTCTTAGTACATGAAGTGATAAAACCATCCACAATGTAAATAACTATTGCTGGTGGGTTTGCAAGACTGTCCACTGAGTCAGCCACAGTAGGGATGCCAATTCTTGACTGCTCCAAGGAGCTGCAAAAGAGCAAAAAAAAAGAAAAGATGTTTACCTTTGCATGGGTTCAAACAACATCCAAAGTGTTGCTGTTACTTTAAAAGGTTTGTTCTTACGGTTCAGTATTTTCTGCTGGTGTGCTGGCTGGTGGTGTGGAACTCAGAGGCCCTTTTGAATCTGTGGATCCCCCTTGTGTTGCCTCCCCAGTCTGACCAGAGGTGGCTCCACTTGGGGTTGAAGCAGTTGTTGTACCTGAAGTTTGTTCTCCATCAGCAGTCCAAGCTTGAGCTTGAGGATGCCCAGAAGAGGATGTGCTGTTCAAAGGAGGCTGGGCCGTGGGAGGCAGCAAAATACTGCTGTCCACAACCAGAGTTGAGAGGAGAGGGCCTGAAAGAAGGAGGGAAAATGTGTTAAAGTAAAAAAAAAAGAAGACATGCCTGTTAATTTAACCTTACCTAGCAGCTGCTTGAAGGCATAAGCATAGAGTTTAAGTTTGATGATGTTATCAGAGTGCTGCTGTCCAGTCCATGGTCCCATCATCCACTGATCCATGTCCAGCTCCTCCAATTTTTCTGGTTCCACATCCTCCCCAACATGTACAAAACCATCCTTGGACACCTTAGACAGTGGACGGTGCTTCCCAAGACGGCATGTCTGAAGATGAGATTGCTCTATCTTTAGTGAAACCCATTATGTTTCACAGTCTGTATTAAGTTTTAGTTGTCTTTGATTCACATCTCAGTCAGATGGTTTTCATCTTACCTCATAGACAGAGCTGAGCTCCTGGAAAAAGGCCTGGGCCGCCACAAGCAGGGAGGGGCTATTAGGGCACACCACTACATAGGCTACATCCCTCTGTCCTCCATAGGGTTCAAGCAGTAATTTCTCCCAGAAAGGCAATGCCAAAGGGGACAATGCCAAGAAGTCCCGCTCTCGATCATAGCCTAGTAATACTGTTGGAATGGGCAGTGGTTCTGGTGACTCCTCCGAACCTTTGATTTGTTGATATTGAGATGTTAGCCAGTACATATTACATATTACAAGTACTTTGCTATTATTAGTAGTAATAGCTACTATTTTCTGCACAAAATGTGCATGAAAGAAGTAAGGCCTCACCATAAGAACCTCGTCCAGCCATTTTGTGAAATTGCTGCCAGGTGAGTGGACCCTGAACATGCTGGATGTTATCCCAGGTCCTTCCTGTTCTTTTTTTCTGGATGGCATCTTGCAGGAAAGGCTGCAACGATAGCAGCATCCGAACCATATCCTGTGATGATAACCTGCTCATGTGCACCACTATGGCCACACATGCACACACACAAAAAGAAACAGGAAAATATATTAAAATGTTAAAGTTCTATGCATCAAAGAAACAAAACACACACAAACCTATCAAACATACTGTATAGTTCTAGAGTTATAAGCAGGTGGCCATATACACAAATACAAAAACGTTTATGCTTTCAATAATTAATTTCTAGCAGCCAAAACGAACTTCTTACCGTTGGTGTGAGGCCATGAATGAAGAGCACTACTTCTTACAACAGTAAGATCAACTTTCCCTCCTGTGGGGTTATCCACATACTGTAACCCCTGCTCCAAAGCATTGTAACAGTCCACACATGCATCACTCTCATCTGCCCACTGCTTTTCAGACATCCAGCTTTGAAGGAGTGCCCCCTTGCGGCCATGACAGGAAGAATTTAGGGGAAAATGAAGTGAAGCCAAGGAGGAAATAGGCTGAGAACACTGTTCCTTCAAGACAATCATGACTGACAAAGAAGCTGAGCCCATGTCCTGCAACTGCTTGGCCCTGGAGTCTCCCATGGTTAGGTCCCGGCGGCACAGGGCAAGCCTCCTCTCAGCTGCTTGGCCTACTTCAGAAGTTCGACCAAATATATCCAGCTCATCCTCCAGAAAAAGTCCTGTGCCATGAGCCAGCTGCCGGTTCACAATGGCGCTGAAGCCGCACATACAGCGATACTGATCTTCACAAGTGAAATCTGGGATGTACACCCCTACATCTGCTCCTTTGACATTCATGTTGCATGCACAGATGCAGCAGCTGTCAAAGTTGCGATCCTTAAACACACTGAGGACAGAGTCTGAGAGCAGAAGAACTAGGTAAAGGCTGTGGGCCTCAGGCAGAGAGGGTCCGGGCCGAGCTAGAGGCTCCACAGAGCTCAGAGGCAGGCAGGTGGAAGGAGTAGAGACCGGTGAGCTAAGCTCAGTACCATCCTGCTTAACTGAACCCTGCCCTGAACTTGCGGTATTAATCCCCCTGGGTGTGCGAGGAGTTCGTGGTGTGGGCACAGAAAAACGTGGTGTGGCAGGCGATGGCAGAATGCCTGTAGTGGTGCTCAAAGAGGCAGTGGTCACACTCATCTGGCCATAGTCCTGGTCGGTGAGAGTATTGACGCTAGGAACGTTTCTGGGAAACACATACATTACAGGAAACAGAGTCAGACAGACAAACTGGAAAAGTTGATCAACTCAGAGAAGACCTAAAAGACATACTGATTTTTACATTCAAGCAACTGTGTTGACTGATAGACCAAGAAACCAAATTTTCATTATCGGTGACATCTTCCTCATAATGGGTTTTTGTATTGGAACTTTTCAGTCTAATTAAGCAATTCTAAAACCTTACAAGCTCGTAGATACTCACGCATATCCATCCTTGGTGAAAGCAGCATTCTGTGGATGCAGGATTGTCGTGAAATGCTCCATTTTGGGCAGGAGGGCCCAGGATGGACGATAGTGACACTGGTCTGGAATTTTGAGTGGTGGTAAATTTTGGCTAGGAAGACAGGACAGTGGAGCAAACATGGAGGAGCCCATCTGAGGTTGGACAAGGAAGAAAATGAGTTTGTTAATGTTTTTTATTGAATATCTCTCTTTCATGTCTTGTGAGTAGAAGCAGATATAACAGGATATTAGGTCAATATCTACCTTGAAGTCATCCTGCCTGGGACTAACCGCACCCTCCTCCATCTCCATCCTGTTCTCAGTGAAATGGGTGGAGGCCAGTGATGGCAGGTGGTCCGACCCTCCGCTGGGTGCAGGGGGCTCTTGACTTGGGGTGTCACGATAAGGCGTGATGGGAGAGAAAGCCGGATGCTGCTCCAGAGAAGGAGGGGTAGGGAACATCATCTGGAGATCTGCTACTGCTGAAAGAAGACAGACACATATAAATACATAAATATAAAGAAAAAAAATGCTTTAAAGAAATTGTTAAAATAATCAAAAAATACATTTGGGTTTTACCACCTAAATAATTAATGTCATAGAATATAATTTTATTAGGCGTTCAGGAGAATATACAAATCACTCACTGGTTGGATAAGGTACAGTAACTCTTCCTTCTTTCCCCACAGGACGATCCTCCGTTGACACCAGTAGTTTGGTCGACTGTTGATTTGGGTAAATAGTCTATAAATATTAAACATTATCAGAAATTTCTGCACCAAAATTACCCAAAAAGTAAGGCAACTAGGAATCCGCTGCATTGCATGCCCAAGTTTTATATAAAACTCTTGCATGATCTGTTAGCGCTTGGAGTCTGTCTTGAGGATGACTCTCAGCTACTATCACAACAGGATTTAGCTCTATATTTGTAATACGGACAAAGTTATAGCCATTTTTCTGTTTGCTAAGATTAGTTAGCTTTGGCACCTTTCAAGAACCATGTTGACTCTAAAACTTAATCAGCTGTAAATGTGTATACAATGTTTACTTTCTGAGAATTTTATTCAAATTTGTCTAGTAGTTCATGATTTTTTTTTTGCTAACAGACAAACACATACATACATATGCATCCACACAGACAGGTTCATAGTCACCGGTTTTTCCTGGCAGCTGGTGACAGTACCTAAAACTGGCAGCACTAAATTATAGTTTTACAAAATCAAGACTATAACTTACTATGCTAGAAAACAACTAAATAAATACATGAGTAATGACACTCACCCCCAATTCTTCCTCGTCTTCATCAAATATGTTGTCTAGATCAGAAATGTTGACGACCAGATCTTTCTCTCTGGTCAGAGAAGGATTAGTTTTGGAAGCGGCCTCATCCTGACCTGAGTCATCTAAAACACATAAAGAAGATCAAGTCTTCAGATCCAGGACTCTGGACCCTGTAGTGCACACAGTCTGCTGCAACATGTGCACAAGATGCTCATTAGGTCCTGACCTGATTTGGGAGCGGAGTTAAAAATGGACATTGCATCTTTTCCATCTGGCAGGGAACCATTGCTTGTGATTTCTTCTCCCTGGATGATGAATTAGAAGAAAATGTATATATTCACAAAGTTCAATCCATTTTTCCACAAAATAAAAATAACAAGAACCCCTCTAGTTGTGAAAAAAAAACAAGTCACAAAGTGTGTCATCACAGTATGCAAATTTGATATAAAAATACAATAACTATATGGAACTGTCAACCAACATGGGTGCAAAAATATATTTATATTAATTTTTATTTCTAAACGTGCAACATCAAATATGGACACCTGGTGGCAGCATAGATAAAATGTGCATGTGACAAGTGTTACAAAAAAGCTTGCTGAAAAGTTTATGATTTAAAAAAATCAAGAATCAAGGGATATGTTTAACATAAAAATAAAAACACCAAAGGAGCTTTACATTTGTATCGAGTCTTTTTTTATTATTATTTAGGGCTCGTCATCGTACCTTGGCTTTCTTGATGGGTTCTCGCCCAGAACTCTTTAACCTCTTGGAAGATGGAAAAGGGTACTCAATTTCTCCTTCCTTGAAGTCGTACGGATCATCTCCATTTTCTCGTAGTGCCTCTACCTCTGGTTGCTCGAACAATCCTAAAGTGTGGATGTGTTCTTTCACTCTCTCTTCTGAGATTTTAAATCTCATGTGGGTCTGAGTGTAAAGTCTGCAAGAGACAAAGAGAATATTAAAGCTTGAGTTTAATCTGTTTTCATGACTGTCTTGTAAACTTTTTTTGAAAATCAATTATGTTCTTACCTGTCTACAAATCAACAGTTTTAAAGGTCCATGTTTTAAAATTAAAGTGATATTTTTAGGGATGCACAATATTGGATTTGTGGCTGATATCCGATATGACGAGATGTTAATAACGAGATATAACGGTGAGTTATTTTGATGGAATGGCCGATGTCCGATATTGAACTTCAACACTAATATCGACCGATACCATGCTGATAATATTGTGCATCCCTAGATATTTTCTTAGATGGCATTGTTTAGAAAACTGCTTCTTTTTGCCTCCTCTTCACATACTGTACCTACCTCTTGAACAAAGCTCCATCAGTGGATGTCTCTGCCTTTATCTCCTCCAGTTTGTCAGTGGGGAGTTCAGGGGATCTGAAATCAGTCTTATTAGTCTTGGGAGTCCTGAAACCTCTCCACCAACCAAGCCCATTCTCCCTCTGCCTCAGCTGTGTTGCATACACAGCAGTCTCACTGGTAATCACCCCCAGTCCTGAAGCTCCGTCTGGACACATAGGCATATCCAAAGCAACATCTAGAACCTCTGGGTCCTGCATCCGAGGGTGTGGGCTGAGAGTGGGTGGAAGTGGTGACATGGGTGAATGAAGAAGGGACTCTGGGTTTTTTCTGCTGTTAGCGAGGGGTTTGGAGTACTTGCAGCTTGGAAGAGACGCCAGAGGCTCCACCGGTTGCTCAAATGCAACAAGGCTGCTGAGCTGGGGCCCACTAGGAGGGTCCTGCTCCAAGGGGGTCTCTTGTGTGGCTGATAAGCGATGGTGAAATGGAATCACAGCCGGCCTCTTGGACTGTTTGTCAGCCTTTTCTGTCTTGTCACTTGTCTTGTGTTTGGGCAGGGAGGAGGTAGGGTATACCGAGGAACCAGAAGAAAGTGCAGAGCTGGCACTAGCATGAGGGTTGGCAGTGGACATTGTGGATATATTGAGCCTCTGCTGTTTTAACCTGTAAGACAATGAATTAAAAAATAAATACAACTTTTTCTCTGAGAAAAATGCCTGTAGAAGCATTATCAAAAGTGCTTTTTTGATTAAATGTCATCCATAAATATGTTGTTGGAGTACATATCTGCTAGAATTTATTAATTGAAGTCTCAAAAACAGTGTCATGGTCTGTAAGTCTAGTCAATTTTTGTTTAAGTTTTTTGTTTTTGCCTTCTTGTTCAGTTTGTACTTTTCTTGTAATGTAATTTCAATCCTGTGTATGTCCTGTACATATTGCAGTTTTTGACAATGAAATGACTTTGACTTTTGACTTCTTGAGTTCCTGTTTTACTCTGAAAGTCCTAGTTCCCTTAGATTTTATTCTTGTCTGAGTTTCTTAACTTGGTTCGTCTTTAATTAACACTCACCTTTTCCTCATTAGGTCGTTTATTCTGACCGATTTCCTTCAGTTAATGTTATACGTTTACTCTATTTCTAATTGTGATGTGTTTGTTCTTGATTTTAGGTTTGAGTTTATAATAAACACTTTTTTCATTCACTTGTTTTCCACGAGTCCTTCATTGGCATCCTAATCCCAAACAAGCTCCCCATGTTCAGAAAATTGCTAACTGTGTTGGTGTATTTAAAACTATGAAGAATAATAAAATGTCTTCATCTGAGTATTGATAAAATTAAAAACATATAATGGTTGTAGTGAAAAGCTTAGGCGGTACCTGGAGCAGCTGCAGGATGCTCTAGTCCCCAGATCATTAAAGTTCCACATGGTGACTCCATTTGGCATTTCCTTTGTCAACGTCCCATCAGTTTGCTCATTTGGTCTGCAGGGAACAAAAACACCAAGAAGACAAACATCTCAGCTCCAATCTTGAAGATACTGTAAGGTATAATATGACACAATGTGACACAATGCAATATGACAGACAAGATGAGACAATACAATATAATTCTTTATTGTCCCCTTAAGAAAATTTGTTTTGGACTAGATGCTGTCTCAATAACTGGCTTCAGAAAAGGCTTGTAATTATATAGATTATTAAAAAATTTCTACACAATGCAATTCATCACAACCCCCTACTAAAGTTTCTTCTACAGCACCAGGAGACACAGATCATATTTCAAGTGGAGGATGTGTGATGGGTTTGATCAGTCCAAGTATATGTCCTGAAGGGAAAGCATTTCAATCCTCCTCATCACTGTTACTGCAGACTGTACCAGACAATAATAATCACATAAAAAAGTAAAATAGGTGTAACATACATGTGCTGAGATTGGTTGAGATAGCACTCCTTCCAAGCCTGATGAACCACCTGGGAGGTCAGCTTTCTCCCAGAATGCTTAGGGCTGATGCTGGGTATCCCCATGCTGCTGTCAGGCGTTGGGGCGTTGGAGGCCGATGTAACAAAACCACTGTCTGCTAAAATGGAAAAAAAAAAATGGAGCAAATGTTATAAACAGGAAAGGGTACAGAGTTTTGAAAAAAAAATAGATGTAATTAGTTTGGCAGAATTCTAAACACATTAACCAACTCCTTCCTCGGTAAAAAAACTAAAAGGAGCACAATCTTGAACTTTTTTATGTCCAAAAGAATAATGGCTTTACCATACATCCACAGATATTATTTAGATCTCAAGCAGCAGTAAAACATCCTTATTTTGCATATGCGTTTCTTTTCACTGCTCCAGTAAATGTGTGTATTATGTGTGCATCGTGCTACTGGTGCTTTCGGACGTACTGAAAAAAGCCTGACATGAACCCCTTACACACATGAATATCTTTTTTTTTTTTGCTGTATAAATCAGTTTTATGCATAAATTAGAATGCCTGCAACTTATACAGTGAAACAACGTATTTGTGTTTTTTCACCATATTTATATCCCAGTTCTTGGCTGAGATCTGACAATTTCATTCATTCTGACATAAAAAATATTGAACACTACCATTTTCAGCCACTAGAGGGCCCTCGACTGATAGGACAAACAAGGTTTCTCATTAATAGGTAAAAGTGGCTATTAATGAGACACTTAGCTTGCCATACCGAGCCACCTTCGTCTCGCTCCAAAACTCCTGGAGCAAACGTCAAATCAGCTGCATTTCGTCGCACCGCCCCGGCAAAATGCAGCTGATTTGACCATTAAAGTGAATTTATTAAGGAAAAGTTAGACTGAGACACACCTTTACTATGTCAAGCAAACAAATAATTGTTTTTAGGTGGTTATCTTGTTAAATTTTGAATAAATGCACAGCAAGTCGTTCCTCTGTGTGCTCCCGCTTCCGTGAATTGGCTTTTTGAAATGCAGCTGATTTGACCGTCAAAGCGCATTTATTAAGGAAAAGTTAAACTGAGACACACCTTTGCTATAATTTCAAGCAAACAAATAATTGTTTTTAAATGTTAATCTTTTAAATTCTTGTTAAAGTCCTCCCGTGCACGCTCCCGCGCCTGACGTTTGGCAGCCAATCGATTTCTGGCCCACGTTTCCGGGTGGTCAGCGGTGACGCATAACAGAAGCAAGTTATACAGCGAAGCGACACATTTATGTTTTTTCCACCTTATTTGACATATTTGGACTGATGCGACTTATACGGCGATGCGACGTTAACTGCGGCAAGTATGGGTATGCAACATCAACATCTTCCTCAGTCTGTTAAAGGGACGGCTTTCAGTCATTCACACATTACTCACTTCCTCATGCTTCATGCAAAGTCATCATAAAACGTATTTTTCCATGTAATATAACCACGATAGTACACAATAAAATTACTGTAGCTAAAAGTGTAAAATCACAACAATGATGGAGAAAAACTGCTTAAGCTGTCACTTTTTAACATGATTCATTGACAGGTCAGTTTTATTTGAGAAGGTGAATCACTGAGAACTATCTAAGGTGTAGCTTCTAAGTCGAGTGTGATTTCAATAGTTTGCACAAAAGAAGTGTGTTCACTTCTTTACGTTGTGAAGCTAATTAAGTAAAACTTAGCGGATTACAACATTTATGCCATGTTTTGTTTCCAAATGTTTACTTCTAGCCTTCGTTTGAAAGTAGATTCAAGTGTGGATAAATGGCAACTCGAGAAAAAATGGTGACCCTTTAGACTTTAAAATTTAAAGTCTTCTATTTGTCAAAGGAGAAGCTGTTGCATCAACTTAAACTCTGCCTTCTGCAGTCGGGGTTTTACCCATAAAACCTTGATGCTTTGTCAGAAAATATTATTTTAAACCAACAGTCACATTATTTTTCTTTGGACAAATAATATACTCTATCTGCGATATAACAAATATAAAACAGTCACATTAGAGCTTAATTAAGTAAAAGTGACATTAACTAGGTGAAAGAAAATAGTTTGCAATGCTAAATATTTGGGGGTTGGATGTCACCAGAGTATTAATTTTACCCTCAAATGTTCAAACAAGACCTCCAGAGGTTATTACTTTGACTGTTTAAATCAAATGCACTTTTTTGTTTAAACTGCACTGTGTTTAAGTTAAAAATCATTGGATTTATTACTGTTGATTTTAAAGCCAGTATAAGGTGCACTTTAAAGTGCTAAAACCTAACTTGCAGAATTCATTTTTGTGCAATATTATAACATCCTGTCATGTTTCACTGTGCAGGATATCTGTGGCATTTTGTAGGGAAATTCCTGTGTGCATATTTGTTACCAGAGCAGGGCTGTTCTGGTGACGTTGGAGGAGTCAGCGGCACACTGCAGTTGTTCAGCTCCTTGTTGGGGCCCGGAGCTGCAGGAACAGGTGGGGGCTGCTCCACTGGTAGGTCCCCCTGGGCAATCAGCACAAAAGCAGCTGGGTAGGTCATCCTTACTCCACCTTAGAAATACAAAAAAAAAAAAAGAAATAAAAGAGGGTTTCCTGTTATGAACTAAAGAGATACAGTAGCTGCTGCATTAACTGTAAAATTGACTGAAAATGTGGGCACATCACAGATGGCTTTTAATTATGCTTACAATATTTCCATCCTAACTTGGATTTATTAAAAAAAAAAAAAAAAAAAAAAAAAAAAAAAACACTATTTGCCACAAATCTTTTCTGAAGAAAATGAGATGCACTAACCACTAATACAGTTGCTATGGCAGCTACGCAGACTGCTGTGCATTTATACAAGCATTCACTTCTAATACACTGCTCGGCGCAATCAAATAAATAAAAAACTCCTTCACGCCTTCCGTTCTCAGTATCATTTCAGGCTGTAAAAGTCATTGGTATCCAAAGGAGTTTTAATTGTAATCAGGTCAAGTCGGCGCCGTGGGATCAGACTGATTAGCCCGTTAGAGAAACTCCCTGGAGTTTCTACCCCAACTTCCCGATTGCTCTTTTCTGTCTGTCTTACGTTCCAGTCATTTCCCCTTTAAGACGTGTTAACAGGCTGTGAGGCTCGGTGCTTTCACATTCACTGGTATTCACTGGTCTCAGCTCAAAATGCAGAGACGGTAATCAATGAGGCGTTAGTGCCTCACTGTTTGCTTTAGCAGAGCAACGTCTCTGTAGCCTAATGCGATTGATTATTTGTAGCTGTTTACATGCTGAGGGATCTGCAGTACGAGCTGCTCAGAGATAATATGCAAAACCTGCATTTCAGTGTCAAATATTAACTCCCTTGGAAATGTCATAACCTCTTTTTCTTTTGTTGGTATGTACAGTAGATGCTTTAAAACGATAAATATGTTTCTCAGAGTTTATTTTATTTAACCGTACCTACGATGACGTCCACCGCCACATGAGAGCTGCAATCGAATGCCCGACCCTCTTCTTTCTGGTTCTTCTCACCACTTCCCTCCTTCTGCGGAAGCACCATGGGATAGAAGTAGCTCCAGTCCTCCATCAGCTTTCGAGCTGCAGGGTCACTCATCTTGTAGGCCTGACCCGTCAGGGTGCCACTCAGACCGTACGGACTCAGGACCACTGAGTACACACAAGTAAATCAAACTGATCAAAAATACTAGAAAGAGATACATTGAGGAATTAAGAGAGATTCAAAGCAATTTATTTGTTTTAAAAATTTGTATTTTATTATGTGAAAAGCAAAAAAAAAAAGTAGAGTAGTGAATTCTAAATATGAAATGAAAGTTGTGCATTTTAAATGTTTTTTTTTAACTCAAAATACTGGAGTTTTTGTCAGAAATTAGGGCCACATTAACCTAGAGTTTAAAAATGAAGAAAACGACAAGTAATCTTTATCAGTGTAACTAACTAAATCAACAAGTTTAAAGTATTTACATAAAGATCAGACTTAAAAAACGTGTACTGAATAACTAATGTTAGCAGCTATGACAAATAGTATTTATATCAATGTCAATATTAATGTCAAATTTCATTATAAAGGACATTTTAAAACAAAAAATGTCTATGTGTCTATGTGTATATATAGATATACATAAGTTTACATACATACATACATATATATATATATATATATATATATATATATAT